CAACAGGACGAGGTGGACTTCTACAGAATACCCTGGACCAGATTTATTGCAGAGCGTGCTCTTCTAAAGGCACAAGGAAGGCTGTCCAGATGCCAGCTGGTGGAGGAGCTGATGAGCGACCTCCTGCTGGCCTGCAGATTTGTCTGGTCAAACAGTTTCTATCCAACCCTGCGGTCTGCCATCGGGGTGGGCAGCGCCTTTGAAGGCTGGAGTCCCCGGGAGGAGGACACTGTGTACCGCCTGCTCGTGCCTGTGGAGGCCCCCCGCGGGCACATCTTCCACCTGGAGCTGTATGATGAAGAGGACGAGCTGGCAAGGAACCCCCGCGTCCGCGTGGAACTGAAGTGCATGTGCGAGAGGGAGCAGCAGCTGGGGGACGTGCTGTGCTTCCTCCACCACCCTGTGGAAGACCTGGTCGAAAATCAGGACCCCAGCCTCCTACAGACCCTCTGCACTGACGCCTACCTGGATGTGGAGAAAATCATCACCTGGTTCAGGGTACAGGTGGCAACAATCTGGAACACCACCCTTCAGGCAGACGCCTACAACCTAAAGGTGCTGCCCTCCAGACGCTCCTGTAAGCTCCAGCTGACAAACACCTCCAGCGGGGAAAAAATCCTGGTTGAGCTGCTGTTTGGGGTGCAGCAAGGCAACTCGGACATCTTCCTGAGCAGCCAGAACACAGAGGCCGGCTTTACGCCCAGCACCACATGGCCGCAGAGCTGTGCTGTGGCGGAAATGAAGTACTTCCAGTACTTGCTCAAGAAGGCTGGAGAGAACAGCGTCATCCAGAGCTGCTTGAGGTTCTTAGCCCACACCCTGGTGGGCATGGGCTTTTCCAACTATGTCCTCAAGACTCTCGTCTTCCACCTCGTGAACATCATCCCTTTGGGGAACTGGCAAAGGAGGAATTTCCTCAGTCGGCTGGAGAGTATCCTGCAGTACCTGCACTTCTGCCTGAAGTACAAACGCCTGGTCCACTTCTTCATTGGCAATAAGATGATGCCCGACGAGGTTATCCTGCCGCACAGCTTCCGGACAGCCACCCCGGTCAACCTCTTCCAGCACCTGGAGGACGACCCGGACGCCGAGTCCAGGGCACTGCGTGACTTCAGGGTGCTGAGAGATCGCCTCCTCAGACTGCTGCTGTTTGGACGCTGAGAGAGTCCTTTGGCTGAACTCTTCCCTCTTTTTGGCTCTAAGCTCACATGCTGTGAGCAATAAGACTCTGGCCTGTCTAGGAGGCCAGAGGTGGGTGTTGCCATGTGGCAGTCAGCACCAGTTTGTGGACAGAAGCTGTCATTCCAACGACAGCTGACTCGACCTCTTGGGACTTGACTTCTAAGTTTGTACTGTCATCGGAAAAAGTCGTTTGCTGTGGTCGTCGTCATCACCCGAACAACAACCTCCGACGGCCCATCTCTACTGAGGATCAACATCTGAGCTACGAGTTACTCTGGAGACCCAGTGGTGACTCATTGTCTCTGTCTCTTGCTATCTACAGAGACTCCTTGCTTTTATTTCCAATCTCTTTTCCATCGCCCGACCTACCTTTCCATCTCCCTAGGCAACTAGGATTCGCAATAAACTGGTCGGGCCAACATTTGACCTGTTGTGTCTTAATTTTGCCGTCGTGTGCACAGATATTAAAAGAACCTCCTAAATCTCCCTCCTATAAATTGGAGCAAGACAGCCTTCGTGTGCAGAGCTCTGCTTGCCGGGAGCACCGCACACGGCAGCCGTTCCCTGCTACCACACCGTGAGGAGCCGGACCCCGTGCAGCTGAAGAGGTGTCTGCACAGAGCTTCTAACAGAGACTCCTGTTACAGCTGGGCAGGGACCGCCCGGCCTCTCCGAGAGCCGCGTCCCTTTTGTTCCGGGAGCTTTGGCCTCTGCACAAAAGCCAAGAAATGCCTTGCTCAACTCAGAGCTGTGTTTGAGTGTGACCTGTGCAAGGAGGGACTGCAGCGTCAGCTGCACAGTGCCGTGGTGAGACGGCTTCAGAATACTGCCATGACGGGAGAGTCCACCGTCCCCTGGGGCAGTGAGATCTGTGCTCGGTCACCTCAATTTCAGAGGATGCTCTGTGATGTTCAACCAGCCTCGTGTGTCCTTTTAGGGAGGCCGAATGCCATTCTACTTTGTCAGAACCTCTATCAGCTGGGGCAGGCATGTAAGTTCAGAGGAAAATCACAGAATTAATCAGAAAAAAAGCTTTCATGCTTGGTTCCCTCCCTTCCCACTCTGGGAATCGAAGCCCTTGACGCCTTCCCTGCCCTGGCAGTTACGCTGACCGTTACAACGGCCCTCCCGGCCCCGCGCACTCTGCCTCAGCGCTGCCTCTCCTCAGAGGGGAGGGGAGGGCACCTGGGGCCTCCTCTCCCTCCTGCCTTTGGACTCGGCAGTTTTGGCCGCAGTTTGGCCCGTCAGGGAAAGTGCCGGCAGCCAGCGCAGGGGGATGGGGAGCCACAAAGCTTAGGATCCTAGAATCATTCGGGCTGGAAAGAGAATTGAGATCCCCGAGTGCAACCGCACTCCACCATGCCCACTGCCCACCTCCCTCAGTGCCACATCTCCAAGGCTCTGCAACACCTCCAGGCAGGTGACCCCACCGCTCCTGGACAGCTGTGCCTGTGCTAACTGCTCCTTCTGACGAGGTCTTTCTTAACATCAAACCTGAACTTCCCCTGGCCCTACTCAGGGACACCCCTCTCATCCTGTGGCTGTTACCCAGGAGCAGACGCCGATCCCTCCCTCGCCCCCAGCTGCTGTCAGGGAGCTGTAGAGAGCAGCGAGGGCTCCCCCGAGCCTCCTCTTCTCCACACTGACCCACCCAGCTCCCTCAGCCCTGGGCTCCAGAGCCCTCCCAGCTCCATTCCCCTCTCTGCACACGTTCCAGGGCCTCAATGTCCAGCTGGCAGTGAGGGGCCAGCACTGAACGCAGCGCTCGAGGCTCACAGTGCTGAGTGCAGAGGGACGTTGCCCTTCTGCTGCTGACCGCACTGCTGCTGACACAAGCCAGGAATGCCGCTGACTTTCCTGGCCACCTGAGCACACTGTTGGCTTGTGTTCAGCAGCTGTTGCCCACCACCCCCAGGACTTTTTTCCTCTACGCAGCTCCCAGCCACTCAGCCCCAATCTGCAGTACGTCTTGGGGTTGGTGTGAACAAAGCGCACGACCCGACCCTTTTTTCTGCTGGATTACTGGAAGCTCTGCTTCTGTACTGGACTGTTCTTCTTGCTCTTTTGGAACACGTGGCAGTCCATAAAAAGGAACCAGCACAATGATAGCAGCAGTGAGGAGGACAGCAAGGAGGAGGAGGTAAGGGGTAAGCATGAGGAAGAGGAACAGGTAGAACAGGTGGAACAGGCGGAACAGGAGAACGAAAACTGTCACCTTCCACCCTGTGGAAGACCTGGTCAGGGAGGTGATTGTTCCCCTCTTGTGAAGCCCCATCTACAGCACTGCATCCAGGCCTGGTGCCACCAGTATAGGAAGGACTTGGAGCTCTTGGAGCGGGTCCAGAGGAGGGCACTGAGATGAGCAGAGGGCTGGAGCAGCTCTGCTATGAGGAAAGGTTGTGGGAAGTGGGCTTGTTCAGTTTGGACAAAAGAAGGCTCCGGGGAGACCTCATGGTGGCCTTCTGTTACGGGGTTATCCTTAATAAAAGTCCGTGAGGGGGCACAGGATCCGGAAAGAAGAGGGAAAAAAAAAAGGTACCGGTTTGGCGCTACCCGGCCGGCTCCGGGCCATGTGCGAGGGGAAAGGGCAGAGAGCTGGCCGATGGTTTTAACAAAGAGAAAACACAACGGGAACGATCTGAGATGGAAGGGTCATGTACTGAATTTAACTAAATCAAACAAAACGAGAGAGACAAGAGTATAAAAAAATGAGAGTCAAACCGCGATAGTGGGAAAGCACGCGGCGAGCTGAGACGGCTGAGCCGGGCCGCACGGAGAGAGGCAGCCGCTCCGCGTCCTGTCCGCAGCTCCAGCCTCTGCCGGCCAGGTCCTCCGCGGATGCCGCCCCCTGCCCTCCCATCAGGTTACTGAAAGAGTCCTCAACAGTAAAGGGAACCAGAACATTAACTCGTTAACTCCCGCTGGTCCATGTGATGTTCTGATGTGGAAGACTGACAACAAAAAATCATGCAAGTGCAACACTTGCCAGTATCTCAATGGAACATATAGACAGGAGGGGGAACGGCTGTTTGTGAGGGTGGATAGTGATAGGACAGGGGGGAACTGAGACAGGGGAGGTTTAGGTTGGATGATAGGAGGACATTTTTCACCAGAGGGTGGTGAAGCAATGGAACAGGTTGCCCAAGGAGGCTGTGGATGCCCCATCCCTGGATGGGGATTCAAGGCCAGGCTGGATGTGGCTCTGGGCAGCCTGGGCTGCTGGTTGGCGACCTGCACACAGCAGGGGGTTGGAGCTGGATGAGTATTGTGCTCCTTTGCAACCCAGGTCATTCTATGATTCTTTGATTCTATGATGTTGTCCCCACAGAGGTGGCTCGTCCTGACTCAGCAGACACAGCTCAAACTAGAGATTCCTCTCTGTTTTCAGCCAAGTCCCAGGATGTTCATCAGGAGGCGGGAGGATTAAGAGGGCTGGTTTTCAGCAGGGAGGATCTCACTGGAAGAGAGCAACATGTTTTCTGTGCCAAAGGAAATTCTTCCTAATGCTTTTCTTCCAAGGCTGAAAATCCTGTGTGCTGGCACATGTCCCATACAACATGCATTCCTTCCCAAGCACAGTCACAGGGTTGCTCTTAACAAAAAGCCCCACCTGCGGTTTGACAGTCAGGGAAAGGAGATGCCTACACAGCAGGGAGCAGGGCAGGGTGAGGAGCATAGGCACAGAAGCAGGAAGATGGGGAACCAGCCCTCCCACAGGGTTTGCTAAGAGGTCAGTGGATCTGACTGTGCTTGGCAGGACTGAGTGACAGCACAGACATCACTCCGCTACACCTTCCTCTTCCCCTTGTGTCTTGCAGCATCCCCTTCTATTAAGCTCCTGGTGGATGACCCGATAGTGGTGAACCCTGGAGAAGCGGTCACCCTGGTTTGTGTGACGACAGGAGGGGAGCCAGCCCCCAGCCTGACGTGGGTGAGGTCTGCTGGCGGCCTGCCTGAGAAGACCGTCCTCAATGGTGGAACACTGACCATACCCGCCATCGCGTCAGAGGATGCTGGCACCTACAGCTGCGTCGCCAATAACAACGTTGGAAATCCTGCCAAAAAATCCACCAACATCATCGTCAGAGGTAAGCTGAGCTGGGAAACCAGCAGCCTTTACTTTGGACTTTAAATTGAACCGTAATCTGGCAGGACAGCTGTGTGCACAAAGGGGTGTCCTACCTTTCTAAACACATTTCTGGTCATTTCTAATGATGCGTGAGATTAACTGGTGCTGATTTAAGATAGGCAGTGGCTCTTGTGGTAGGTCCAAAGCCCTTGGTTGGGCCAAGGGTGCAGCGGAGCCCCTTTGCACCACAAAGATGCAGCAGTTCTCCTACTCAAACCAGAGATGAACGCTTGCCAAAGGCCACAATGCGCATTGCGTGTGATGGGAAGACTTGGCCATCCTCTGCACACCCCCTTTCAGCAGTGCCTTCCAGGCAAGAGGCACGTCAGAGTATCTCTCCTAGTGGCCATGAGATCCAGGAGGTGTCATTTCCTACTTCACCCTTTTCTTCCTCCTCATCAGCTGAGTGTGATACAGAAATGAAGGCTGTTGTGCACGCTGTGAGTCTGCTGCCATCAGATGACTGCTCCCTGGGTAGGAGCTTTAGATTAGTATCTATGCTTTAATTATGCAAAATAGTAGGATAAATGTCTGTCTTAGATAAAAAGAAAAGAGGAGTGCTTGCAGAGCAATTACTGCGAGGTGGAAAGAAACTCTCCCCACTTGTTTATTGCTTTCTGGATAACCCCAGGGATGTGGCCAGTTGGTTTGAAGGAAGAGTTCACTTGGCTGGTGAGCATCACCTGAGTGGATTAATGTACCTGAAGCGAGCAGTTCATCTGAAACTAATTTTCTATAATCTAATCTATGAATGCTACTGAAACACGTTATGGGAACTTTAAATAATGCCATGTGATTAATCATACTTAGGAGAAACTGCTATATAAGGAGCCAGTGGTGTGAGTATTTTATGAGAGCCATAACCCCTGTTCTCTTCGTGTTGCCCAACATATTACACTCTTCAGCAGGATGGTGAATTGGAAGCTATTTCTGTTCAGGGGGTCACAGAGAGAGCGTCGCATCAGCCTCGGTCTGCAGGAGTTTATCAGGAGAAGTCCACAGATTTATTTGTAATACGTATTTCCATTTGAAGTTTTTGACATTTGGCTTAGGGGGTTTGTTGTCAAGAGGCAAAAGCAGTGTTGTTTCAAGAACGCAGCATCGACATTAATTTGCTGTGATTTACAACGGTGATGAGGTTGGGAAAGGAAGGTGGGAGTGAAGCACTCGCTCGGAATAAGCAAAGGGAGAGGAAAGGCTTTGTGTGAAAAGAAATCTGAGCTTTTTAATTGACCCAGCAGACAGCACCGGGGAGCCCAGAGGAGAAACCAAGTCCCTAGCTCCCTGCAGATACAAATTTCATGAGTCATAGCATAATAATGATATGCCCTCACATTTTTATTTATAGAAGCCCATGCCTATGAGATGCCTAGGAGCTGCAAAATGTTGAACAAAAATATCATTAAAACATTTGAGGAAGGGTTTTTTCTTCTTCTCTGCTGTACGGATGTTAAATCTGAGAAGGAAGCAGCACAAGGAACACTCCCCCATCCAGTCCTGCAGTGCAGCATCCCAGAACACTGCTGCTAGGATTTTCCCCTTCACTATTATTTCTGATCAAGGAAAGGACTGTCTTTAAAAAGCACTCTTTTTAATTCTGGTCTTATATTTATATGTATTAAAAGGAACATTGAGAGAAGTAGCAAAATACGAGAGGAATTTGTATCCAAGGCTGGATTTTGTTCCTCAGTGCTTTCCCTGCAGCTCATTGCTGCTCTCTGTTTCATCTCTTTTTTTTGTAGTTGTTTATCAGAATTTTCACACCGCAGCTGAGGAGAAAGGAGTATTAACTTGACATGGCAACTGAGCCTTGCAGGAGAAGCATTTGATAATTGGAGTTTGCAGCTTCTCTCAGGTTGGACTGCTGAGCCCAGGAATAGACAGTAATCCCCCAATCTTACGTAGATAGAAATGTAAAGATGTAAAAAGTGCCATCAGGGCTTGGATTAAATTTGTTCCTGTTAAAATTCACTAACTTTCGCCATGCTTTTATCTGAACATTTCTTTTTTGTGTGTGTGCTTCATCCCATTGATGCCAGCTTATCTTCAGGAAGCTTTTGGCATTTTCCTGTCTTTGTAACTGCCCAAATTCATAAATGCCCATCACACCTTCCTTTGAATCCATTGTGAATGATGCCACATGACTGCCACACAATTTAAAAAAAAAGCAACCTAAAGTCAGAGAGAGTCTTTCAAAAAGAAAGAATAAGTACCTGAATGTCCAGGGTGTAAGTAATTGGCTCCTGGGACTGCTGTGAGGTGCACAAGCAGCAGTGGGGTAGCAGATGCCACTAATGATTTTGGTGCACTGCTTTCTGTCAGCTCCCAGGACAGACTTGCAGCCTTCCAATGTTCATGTGCATGTTCTGGTTTTTTGCTAGCACTCATTTTCCTGCCCTCCCAATGAGCATGGCATGGAAGATTTTTCTAAACTGGATGGACCAAAGCTGGCATTGCAACAAAGAACCCATTTAGTCATAACCATCTTTGGGTGTTGTTTTTTCTCTCCTTTGCCCTGTATGCTTTAAGCAGGAGATAAGTAAAAGATTCAGAGAACAATGCTTTTCCAGCTGGCACAGATGCCTCTATAACAAGGCCACGTGCCATTTAAGTGGTGGAGCCACCATTTAGTGGGAAATGCAGTGAAATGCAGCTTTTGTGAAGAACGTCATTATCAGTTTAGCTCTACCCAAAATTATTGCAAAATGCTTCACTGCACCAAAGAAATTGTCATCTGTCAAGGTGTCTGGGATAAAGCAGAGATAGAGGGAGTGCTATCTCATTTCAGCAGAGCTGGCTGCTCACCAATTCTAATTATGAAAGTTTCTTTTGGAGTATTTTCTTTAGATTAGTGAGTTCTTTCAATGATTGCAAGGCTGCCAGCGTTTGAGTGTTGTTGGGTGTTCTCATCAGTGGCATCTCCACTTCCTGCTCTCAGGCTGATGAGCACAGTAGCTTCCCTTAATGTATTTCTAGACAAAGCCATTCGAAAGCAGAGGAAGCTCTAAGGGAATCTTGATTCCTCTCATTTGATTAAGACTTGAAGTTTTTCTCCTTCTCTTTTTAAAAAAATAAAAAGCCTCAGGTAGCAAATCACATGCCACCCCTTCTGGACAAACAGAGCTCCCATCGACCTTCCAGTCTGATGTACAGATCTGTTGCTCCTCCTGCTTGGGTGATGTTCTGTTCTTCTGACTTTTCCCATCTAATGCTATTTCTGACGTAGGAGAAGTCATTCATGATGAAGGTCGGGGAGATGGAAGTCTGATGTACTTCTTTCAGGGCACTTTCCAACCCTAAATACCTGTGTTGGATCACTTTCATCATGAATTTGTCACGATGCACCTTTGTTGGTTGCAATTAGAAGTAAATTACGGTCAGTCTTCTTAATGCGTGTTTTTTAAGTCAGCCATTGGTGTTTCACCACCCTTGGACCAGCACACGTGGTGACATGGCTACTTCCTGATGTCCCTCACGTTCACGGCACTGCAGAAAGGCTTCAGGTTATTATCAGGAGCTCAGCAGTTAAAGGCCTTGTTTCTGATATGGCCCCACACTCTGTTCCTCCCCGTGCTCAGGCATGGGATCTTGGACATCTGGCTTCTCCTGTGTCCCAGGAAGCATTTCTGGCCTGAGAGTTTCTTGGACTTTGCTCTTGGAGGTATTTCACTCCTTAAGATCCTTCCGTGTTTGTCTGGAGAAGGTACCACAAGGTATTAGAGTAGTGAAAAAGTAATATGGACCTTGTAAACTTCAAGATACTGCATAGGAACATCATTGTCACAGTGCCATTCTGTCTTTGGGTGACAACTGGGTGACAGTTTGGGTGTCAAAAGAGAAAAGGATCAAAGTAGTTATGTGGTGTATAACCTGGTGTGGGGAACCTGCTTTGGCAGGGGGGTTGGACTCGATGATCTCTGGAAGTCCCTTCCAACCCCTACAATTCTATGATTCTGTGATATGCCTGTGCCTTCTAGAAAATCAAGACATCTTCATCATGACACAAACTGGTACTCAAGTTATGAGAACATGGAAATAAAAATATTCCAAAAATGCAGTGAAGAAGAAAGTGAAAAAAGAATCTCTCTGTAGATACCAGGATGTCACTGAAGAAGAAGGGATTTGGTAACAAGAGGTGTAGGGTGGCTCTTCCATCCAATAAGAGAGCAGAACTGCTGGGTCACATCTTAAAAAAACATCTGTGAATCACAATGGGAAAGTGGTAGAGCAATGTTTTACAGGTCATCAAACATGTAGCACTGATATTGTTGGGAAGGATGTCAACATACACGAGCTCAATGCTTTTGCCTCTTCAGCAAGTTCTCCCTTTACCTTCTTTAAACAGATTCCATTGTCTCCTTCATTGCAACTGCAGCATTATTTTAGTGCCAGTTGACTCTGAGTCTGTGACTTTTCCTTTCTTTGAAGTGGAAACATAATGTCTAGAGTTAATTTTTCAAAGGGGTGGGATTCCCTGCCAGTTTAAATATAAAATGATAATTTTAAATAACCTGTGCTCTACATTAGCACAAAAGCTTTTGCTGAACAAAAAGCACTCTGGAGAAATGCAATTTAAGGCTGAGATTGCTGGAAGTACCAATCCCATTATGCCTTTAAAAACTATACATGAACTATGTAATAGTGATTGCTAAAAGGAAAGTAGAAAGGAAAAAAAAAGACTTCTGGCTTCTTTCTGGGAGTGCATTGGAGAGTCAGTGCCCATGGCAGCTGTTGGGTGCTGGCCAGCAGAGGAGTGCTGTGTCCATATGATGTGCTTGATCCTTAGCTGGTATTGATAGGGGAGAGGAGAGGAGAGGAGAGGA